GATGGTGAGATGGAAAGTCAGGAGGAGCCTGGGACACCGAGGAAGATGCTATTCCAGCCCAGGTCTGCTGATTCCTGGTCATGTTACACAGAAAAGCAAAACCTTTCTTGGTTAAGCCACTCCAACCCAACACATGCTGCCTAACCACATCTATTACAGTGACGGGAGTGGTTCTACTTTTGAAACTTGTAGGAGTTGAAAACAATTCTCTCCCTGAGAATTAGTATCCCCATTAAGACACAAAAGAGTTGAAATTGTGTTGTTTTTGTGTGTGTCTGTGTGTGTGTAACCAACCAAAGAAATTCTTACATTAGAAAGCCTGGAATGTGCTCGCTTCGGCAGCACATATACTAGAAAGCCTGGACTTCACATTTCCCAGATGTCCGGGTAGGTGGTTCTTGGCTGCCCTGCCCAGAGCCAGGCCTCCTGCTGGCCAGACACAGCAGTGATTAACGGGGAAGGCACAGTGAGAGCTTGACTGAAACTTGGGAGTGTCAAACTTCCTTTGAAAGAAATGAAAAAAATTCAAAGTTTCTTTCCATGTAGGCAAATCTACTTCCCCCAGCTGTTTAGGGTTTTCTGGTCTGTGACATTAGCATTTCTAGATTGCTGTTTTCTTCAGCTTTCAAGTCTGAGATATATGAGTCAAAAATAAAACCAAGAAGTTTACCACTGGTCATTTTATATTTGTTTTATGTATAATCATCTGTCAGAACAGGCTTTATAAACTTTGGGCTATTGTACAAGTAAAATTCACTCTAGAGGTATGATAAATTGTCATGATTAATACTATTTAAATAGATATGGTTCTGATGGTTTGCATTTAGTTTTCCTACATATCCACCAGTGTATTTTGATTCAACATGCTTGATTACAGACTCTCCCCGTTGTTAACACCTACTCCATTTCAGTGCTCACTTGAAATTTAGTCATTCTATACAGGGAACTGCTGGGGCCCTAGGAGTTGAGAGGAGGAAATCCTTCTTAATCATAATGCTGAAAGAGCCATGATACTTCCAGCCCAGAGGAATGGGCTGTAGTGAGGAGTCCAGGTAGTGCAGAAAGGCTAGGAAGGAGGCAGGTCCTGAGCTCTTCCAGTATGAAAGAAATGCAAATGCATCTGGTACATTTATAGTCAAATATATAAACACCTGGTCCTGGTAAAACAAACAATTTGGAGATAGTTGTGATACGGACTTACCATGGCTTGCCTCCTGCTTCTATGGGTGTCTGAAGGCCCCCGAAAGCCCTGAGTCTCCTAAAGGGAGTGGTGTTTCTGTTGAGTTGACAATGATAGAGCCACTGCTTAGCTCAGTGGCTGTTTCTCTGGTGATTAGGTGTTAAATGCTGTCCATGGAAACAACGGGGATATTCAACCCGAATGGGATGGAACTAACAGGTGGCTATGGAAGCCTTAGACAGAAGTGCAGAGATGCTCTACCAAAGGGGAATGGCAGAACCTCCCACCAACATCTATGATCTCCATACTATCTCATCATTATAACTTATAGGTATTAAAAAAAAATCACATGCCAGAGCCCCTAAGGAATTACATAGCATTATGAAAAGAACTGAATATACAACTGGCAGATACCTATAAGGTTCAGTTCAGTTCAGTTCAGTCGCTCAGTTGTGTCCGACTATTTGCGACCCCATGTACCTCAGCACGCCAGGCCTCCCTGTCCATCACCAACTCCCGGAGTTTACTCAAACTCATGTCCATCGAGTCGGTGATGCCATCCAACCATCTCATCCTCGGTCGTCCCCTTCTCCTCCTGCCCTCAATCTTTCCCAGCATCAGGGTCTTTTCCAATGAGTCAACTCTTCGCATGAGGTGGCCAACGTACTGGAGTTTCAGCTTCAGCATCAGTCCTTCCAATAAACAGTCAGGACTGATCTCCTTTAGGATGAGCTAGTTGGATCTCCATGCAGTCCAAGGGACTCTCAAGAGCCTTCTGCAACACCACAGTTCAAAAGCATCAATTTTTCGGCGCTCAGCTTTCTTCACAGTCCAACTCTCACATGGATGTGAGAAAAACCATAGCCTTGACCAGACGGACCTTTGTTGGCAAAGTAATGTCTCTGCTTTTTAATATGCTATCTAGGTTGGTCATAACTTTCCTTCCAAGGAGTAAGCACCACCTGCAGTGATTTTGGAGCCCCAAAAAATAAAAAGTCTGACACTGTCTCCACTGTTTCCCCATCTATTTCCCATGAAGTGATGGGACCAGATGCCAGGATCTTAGTTTTCTGAATGTTGAGCTTTAAGCCAACTTTTTCACTCTCCTCTTTCACTTTCATCAAGAGGCTTTTTAGTTCCTCTTCACTCTCTGCCATAAGGGTGGTGTCATCTGCATATCTGAGGTTATTGCTATTTCTCCTGGCAATCTTGATTCCAGCTTTTGCTTCTTCCAGCCCAGTGTTTCTCATGATGTACTCTGCATATGAGTTAAATAAGCACGGTGACAATATACAGCCTTGACGTACTCCTTTTCCTATTTGGAACCAGTCTGTTGTTCCATGTCCAGTTCTAACTGTTGCTTCCTGACCTGCATACAGGTTTCTCAAGAGACAGGTCGGGTGGTCTGGTATTCCCATCTCTTTCAGAATTTTCTACAGTTTATTGTGATCCACATAGCCGAAGGCTTTGGCATAGTCAATAAAGCAGAAATAGATATTTTTCTGGAACTCTCTTGCTTTTTTGATGATCCAGTGGATGTTGGCAATTTGCTCTCTGGTTCCTCTGCCTTTTCTAAAACCAGCTGGAACCTCTGGAAGTTCACGGTTCACATATTGCTGAAGCCTGGCTTGGAGAATTTTGAGCATTACTTTACTAGCATGTGAGATGAATGCAATTGTGCAGTAGTTTGAGCATTCTTTGGGATTGCCTTTCTTAGGGATTGGAATGAAAACTGACCTTTTCTAGTCCTGTGGCCACTGCTGAGTTTTCCAAATTTGCTGGCATATTGAGTGCAGCACCTTCACAGCATCATCTTTCAGGATTTGAAGTTAGTCACTTGTAACTCCTTAGGCATATACAGTCCAAGTTTTGTTACTTTTTGTTTTTTAAAAGATAGCCAGAGTTACTTATATATAATGCTCTAGAACCACCTGGTAATTATTTATTCACTATCATACAAATTTGTCACATAACTTATGGGTGAATACTGGAGTAAATGCTTATAAAATGGGCTTTGAGGGTACAACTACTAAGTCTATTCTAATAAAAGGTTTTTAAAAAAAAAATAAGAAATAACATTAAAAACAAACTGAAAAGAAAGCATTCTTATGCAAATTAAAAAAAATTAAAAGCAAGATTTCTGAGTTTTTCTTTAGTCAATATAAATTTCTAGCTCTGTCTTTAATACATCAAATTCCTTCTGTATACTGACAGAATATATACCAGAATCTCTGCCTGTTGTAAACCCTGCCTTTGGGAAAAACGGTCCCATTTTTCTGAGTTTATTACCTGTGTTTCATAACTCACGGCATTTTGTGGGCTTCAGTAGCAGTATTTATTTCTACCAAAAATTCACCAACTCTTAAATATGGAACTCAGGTTCTCTAAAAGTCAAAACAAAAAACATTTCTGCAAACAGTGTTGGTAGCTATTTCCACAGAAGAGTACTAAGCAGAATATTCTACATTCCTTTACACATACCAAGGTAATGCTTGCACATGGTAGAAGTGGAATAATTGCACGTCAATCTTATCATCAATTCATGGCGATCAGTTACACGATATATTTGATAACATGTAATACATACCTGTCATATATGTAAAACATATTATGAGCATTAGTGTTCAGTAAGACAATAGCCCAATAACAAATGACATTTTGTTATTCAAATGATCTTATAATGTCAACACCAATGCTAATAAAAATATATAATAGGCCGAACTCATCAACGGCCCAGTTGTAATTCATTTGAAGTTTCCCACATTTCAAAGTCTTTCATAGATAAAACGAAATTCTTCTATTTTGTGAAATTTTAATCTTTACCTGTTAAAGGTTTGGCAAGGCAAAGTCTCCCCTGTTAGCAGAGGAAAAAAAGCAGAGATGGAACAAATAGGTCACCATACATATCACATATGTTGTGAGCACCTCTTTACTCCTGTAGGACTGAAAATTCTGGGTTTCCACATTCTTCATGCTTTAGCAATCAAAATAAAAGCATAATTTACGTCTAGACAGATGTAAAATGCTTCAGTTTTCATTTAAAATTGGTGTTTCCCTTTTCAGATTATTTAAAATTAAAAAAAAAGAATTAATTCTGTCTACTAAGGTTTTTAAACATGGACATTGTGAGTTCTTTTCATATTGAATTTTAAGGGATGATGCTTCGCTCTATTTCTAGACTATTAGATGCAAGAAAGGTTAAGTGTGATGAATCAGTAAAATGTTGGTAACATGGTGACCCTTTAAAACCAAAGACATAAAAAAAAAGATTTTTTTTCAAGGATATTTTAACAAATAAGGATTTGCTTTGTATATACATGCCATACTTAAAGACAAAACTTGGATTAATCGTTATATTCAGGAAATAGGTATTTTATTATTTAGCCCTTTATATGTGCGTGAGAGAGAGGGAAAGAGAAAATTTTCAGCTTAAGTAAGACTCTAACTTCCTGAGAATTTTCTAATTAGGTAAAAATACTGATTGAGATATTTACTTGTCTTACCAGCAATTGTAAGAAAAATATACTTTGCTTATTCATGAGAAACATCATAAGTACATTATTGGTTAATATCCTAATGAGGCATCTGTTTAAACAGATGTTTTAGTTGAGAAAACTGTGAAACATGCTTCTAAATTTACAAATATCTCGGCTACTCTTCCTTGCCTGGGAGGTTGAGCCAAAGTTTACATAGATTAGAGGAAAGCCTGAGTCTGGAAAGATTCAAAGGATCCCACAAATGCAGGTAAAGTAATACAGTTAAGTAACTTGGGAATCACTTTAATAATTATTTACAGAACGTCTGTTGCTTCCTTCTTCGCTCACATACAAGTGACCTGAGTCACTCCGTCTTCCTGGTCCAACTGCCCATCATCTAGTTCCCGCAGGGCGCTGTCACTATTGCTGCCAGAGAAGCTGCTGGGCGGGGCCGGCCTCTCCTTCACCCAGCACCCCCTAGAAGGGGCGAGCAGGCAGTCCTCAGGCGGGCTTCTGCTCTCTGGCGGCTGTAACAGGTCTGTGTCCAAGCTGGCGCTCCCGCTTGCGGCTTTACTCCTGTCTTCACTTTTCACGTGCCGGCTGCCTTTCCTCTGAAACACAGGAGATTAGCAACTAGGAGCTAATAAAAGGCTGGGTGTCATCCTGCCCCTCTGATCTAGCCCTCTGCCCACTTCTCTTCCAAATCCTGCTCCTCTTCAAGGACAGCTCAGGGCCGCCACCCGGCAGGAGAAGATGCGTTCCCTGTTCTGTTAATAAACATCTGTGGCTTCCTGGTCCACCATTCTCCTTGTTGTCAGGGTGGTCGTGTGGCCCCACCTGGGCCCTCAACAACACCTCTGAGGAGAGAGACCTGTTGAGATCATACTTTGGGGAACAAAGCAGAGAGAGATACACTTGAAGCTTCCATTTTTCATTTTGGTATTTGTTGGGATCTGAGCAGCAGAAAAAGTGCCTTAGAGGCCACCTCACCCCCGTTTCTATAGGAATAGTCTGCACAGATAATTCAGACAGAGATCATATTGGAAGAAGGGGTGCCTTTCCAGGTGGGGTGGACCCCTCTCCTTGTCCTACTACAGACTGCTTCTGCCTGGCATGGTAGGATTGTTCAGCGACGGGACCAGCTCATTTTGCAGGCTGTCTGAGAAGCTGTAGATATTTTCACAATGAAATATTACTGAGACCTGACCACGCCCTTGGTGCGGTTCATAATAAAAGGACATGGTTTTCCTGCCAAGGGTACTAAGTCGAACAAAGGTATCTAAGTCAGTAGAAGGAGAGCTCAGGGAGACAACTTTCATGTTCAGACTTCTGATGAAATTTTCTCACGGGGGTTTCTTTAATACTGACAACATGACATATATTGGATCATGTGCATATACTTAGGCACAGAAACTGAATAAGGATACATGATAAAAGATAAAGTGAAAAGTGAAAGTCACTCAGTCATGTCCGACTCTTTGCGACCCTAGAATTCTCTAGGCCAGAATACTGGAGTGGGTAGCCCTTCCCTTCTCCAAGGGATCTTCCCAACCCAGGGATCAAACCCAGCTCTCCCGCATTGCAGGCAGATTCTTTACCAGCTGAGCCACCAGGGAAGCCCATGATAAGATAAAAAATATTTTAAAGCCCATTATTTTCCATACTATCAAGAGTTTATTTTCTTAAAGCTCATTTACATGTTAGCTGAGAATTAGGATTACATTTTCTCAAATGTGAGAGGTAAAATTACTAAAATAAATAAAAAATCCCTTAGGAAAACAATATAGAAGTCAGATTCCTAGGCTAGTCTTAGAAAAGTTTGTTAGACTATAGATTTGTTGAACTACTGTGTATAAAATACAAAAGTATTTTCTGCTGGTTTTCATGGCAAATACACAATACAAACAAGCAGCTGTATTAAAATGAATTTTATGGGCTGCGAGGGAATGTAACCACAGTTGACGGTGGTTGGCTGACAGCATTGTTTACATAGGGAGATGCAGGCTGCAGTGTGCTGCCTAGAAAGGAGTGTGTTGGCAGCTCATCTTTTTCTTGGCTGGTTATCTGAGTCCTTGGGCAAGTTTAAAGGAACAAGCCTGATGTGGGACCTGCCTCAATAAAGGCCCACCCTCGTGGGCCTCGTCAGATATAACTTGATGGTGGGGACATTTTCATTTGCATTCATCAAGTGCAAATATTAGATCTCAAATCCTTTTCTTTTTTATCCTGATTCACCAAATGTACTGAGTTTAACACAAGCAGTTGAACCTGACAGATTTGCCCTTAAGGTACAGAAGTTGAGAATGGCATGTTCTCCCTGGTGTTGGGACACTGGCGGGTGAGGACAGAGCCTTTTGGCTGCAAGCAGGCCTGATGGGTGCTGCTCCTTTCTCAAGCCTGGCTGCTGGCTCCTTTCCCATATGCACAAAGGATGCATTCACTCCTGGATGACCTCTCCTGTTGCCTGAATGAAATGGGAAGGAGGGGGTGCCTGGAAGCACTTGGCAGTCTGGATCTTTCCTTCTTCATAAGCATCAGGGCCAAAGGTAAATTTTGCAATAAATTCCTTATTGTGTATCAGCCAATAGAGGCTTACTCTCAAATACTCAATGAGAAATTTCTTAATAAAAATTAGGTATTAGTCAGGATAATAAGAGAATAATTTGCTTTTAGATAAGAATTAATAAGTAAACAACCACCAAATACCAACTTCAAATATTAGAAGATAATTAAATACCTAACTCTAAAAAAGATTAGAAAAAACCCTGATGTTCAGAAAGACTGAGGACAGGAGGAGAAAGGGGTGACAGAGGATGAAATGGTTGGATAGCATCACTGACTCAGTGGACATGAGTTTGAGCAAATTCCAAGAGATGGTGAAGGACAGGGAAGCCTGGTCTACTGCAGTCCATGGGGTCACAAAGAGTCAGAAACGACTCAGTGATTGAACAACAACAACAAAAAAATGTCACAACTAATGCTTTTCTTTTTTACTAAATGACTCTTAATAAATACATCTTCAGCAATGACATTGCCTCCCTTACTCCACATGAGAAGACTCTTGAGAGTCCCTTGTTCAGCAAGGAGATCAATCTGTCAATCCTATAGGATATCAGTCCTGAATATTTCCTGGAAGGACTGATGCTGAAGCTAAAGCTCCAATACTTTGGCCACCTGATTTGAAGAACTGATTCATTTAAAAAGACCCTGAAGTGGGGAAAGATTGAAGGCAGGGGGAAAATGGGATGACAGAGGACAAGACAGTTAGATGGCATCACTAACTCAATGGACATGAGTTTGAGCAAGCTCTGGGAGATGGCGAAGGACAGGGAAGCCTGGCATGCTGCAGTTTATGGGGTCGCAAAAAGTCAGACACATCTGAGTGACTGAACAGCAACTCCACATGAAATAATAGCTTTTCCAACAAATCAAATTGCAATGTTCTTATAACTTAGAGTGTAGGAGACAGAAACCTGACCAGTCCATGAAGATCATCCACTCTAATCCCTCCTTCTACCGACATGGGACCCAGAAACAAGACGGTATTTGTCCAAGGTCAAAGGATAGCTGGCTTTGAACTGGAACCTGAGTGTCTTACCTTATTCTTTTTACATTTTTCACTATGCAAAAATGTGAGTAGATTTATGGTCAAAGATTTGTATGTTTCTCAAAGATTTCCAATCACAAAAATAATACATGCTCAGTGTAGAAAACCTGGTAAAAACAAAGAAAAAAAGCAAAGCCCATCCACAATCCCATTTCACAGAGATACCACTGTTAATATTTGACATGTTTTACTATGTATATCTGGAGAAGGAAATGGCAACCCACTCCAGTATTCTTGCCTGGAAAATCCCATGGACTGAGGATCCTGGTAGGCTATAGTCCATGGGGTCGCAAAGAGTCGGACACGACTGAGCGACTTCACTATGTATATATGGGCTTCCCTGGTGGCTCAGTGGTAAATAATCTGCCTGCCAATGCAGGAGACACATTCGATCCATGCGGGGGCAAGATTCCCTGGAGAAGGAAATGGCAACCCACTCCAGTATTCTTGCCTGGGTAATCCCATGGACAGAAGAGCCTGGTGGGCTACCAAAGAACTGATACCTTTGAACTGTGGTGCTGGAGAAGTTTCTTGAGAGTCCCTTGGACAGCAAGGAGATCAAACCAGTCAATCCTAAAGGATATCAACCCCAAATATTCATTGGAAGGCTAATGCTGAAGCTCTGATACTTTGGCCACGTGACACAAAGAGCCGACTCTTTGGGAAAGACCCTAATGTTCGGAAGGAATGAAGGCAGGAGAAGAGGGCAGTAGAGAATGAGACGGTTAGATAGCATCACTGACTCAATAAACATGAATTTGAGCAAACTTCAGGAGATAGTGGAGGGTAGAGGAGTCTGGCATGCTGCAGCCCATGGGGTTGCAAAGAGTCAGACATGACTTAGCGACTGAGCAACAACACTGTCTATTTGCATATGCACACAAAGATGTGTATAGCTCACTTTTGCACTTAGCACTCACTGTATTTTGAGTATTTCCCTATGTCATAAAGAGATTTTTCATGCTACATTGCTAGGCTTATTCCTATAGGTTCTCAGAATTCATACGGGTTCTCTTTCTTCTGATATTTCACTATAAATTTGGAGAGATTCTATCAAGATTTGCATGCAGATCTAATGCCACCATTGATAAAAATCAGTCAGTTTTGTTTTGGTTTTTTCACTGTGCTGGGTCTTAGTTGTGGCATGTGGGAACTAATTTCCTGACCAGGAGTTGAACCCAGGCCCCCTGCATTGGAAGCACAATCTTAACCACTGCACCACCAGGGAAGTCCCCAATTGATCGACTTTTGAGAATCATCCTCATTTACTACAAATGAGTTACCCATTTCAAATACTTGAGACTCAGTGACAAAGCAGTTGCATTTATGGTGCCCTACCAGTCTACCTTTCATTTTCCACTCATGATGTCTTAAAAACATAAGCAGAATTATACCAGCAATTATAAGATATCGCATGCCTTGTATAGTGTGATGATGGATAGAGTGGAAGAGTAGCTAAAAAATATGATTTATATAGCAATAAAAACATGGAGTGGACATTCAGGATTTCTCCCCCTGTGTTTTTCAGGCTTGAGGGAGGATTAGAAAGTCACTGGAAGGCTAAGTGTAGCTCTGATACCAGTTAGAAGAGTCAGAGGCTTTGAATCACACAGAGAAACCCCACAGAATATGCTTGCTCACAAAGTATGTTCCTGGGTCAGGTCATCCAAGCTTGGTGCTGTCAAAATCAGTCAAGCCTGGGAAGGGAAAGGTGTAGTGGACAACCAGTTTTCCAGTCAGCTTTCTCATCCACCTTCTCTACTGCAGTGTGGGCACATGACCCAATCAGATCCAGTCAGAGTCCTTCTCTGGGATTGCTGTATTGACTCTAGGATAACGAAGCTCTTTCTGGACTTCCCTGGTGGTCCAGTGGTTAGGAATCCATGGGGTCAATCCCTGGTACAGAAGAATTCCACATACAGCAGGGAAACTAAGCCTGTGTGCCACAACTACTGAGTCTGCGCTCTAGAGCCCTCGAGCCACAATTATTGAAGCCGGTGAACC